CTGGTAAGGCAGGAGAAACCTCTCTGCCTTTCTCAACCTGGTAGTAGGGACCTTCTTTTTTGCTTAATTGTCTGCAAAGAACTCATTCATTTGAACCTGCTTCGGTTTCTCCTGCCTCACCAGGTCTTATCCTGAAGCTCAGCAGAGCCTAGGAGACCTAAATATGAAGCTGAAGGACAATGTATGTATCTGGCTGAGGGTTGAGCATGAGGCTCACCCGTGACGGACAACTGTTGGAAGGCAAACTCGCATATTTTGCGATGAAGCTCTACATTCTGCTCACGGATAGCTTGCGCCTCTATCGTTCCTTCCGAGGTGGGTTATTTACACGCAAAACAAAATACACAGATTTGGCTTCGAAGTAAACGCTTATGGAGGGTGACGAAAAATTACTTGCGCCACAAAAAACGTCCTCACTTCATTTTTGGTTCATAAAAATTCGAAGAATCAATTTCATAAAATAGCAAACTATAACATTCAATACTTTATAAAAAAGTATCGAAGTGGCCGCTAGTCAGATTTTAATATGGATCTGAATTAGGTTCGACATTGAGTCGACGGCGGCGAAGCTGGAAACTCTTCTGGTTTGACGAAAAAGTTCTCCCAAAGCAGCTGAAAACTCCTAAATCATCTTCAAATTCTTTGTTTAGTTTTCTTTTTTTCTAGTTGGAGAATACCTGCAAGAATTCCATTCGCTGAAAGTTTCATGATTTGGAGCAATACCAGTGCTTTGGACAACTCTCCATTGATTTTTATCGATAGGATCACGGAAATCAATCCGAAGACATCATGAGTAGGTCTTTAAGAGGGCTCTGGTGCTCTGGAAGCAAGTCACAACAATGTTGACTTTCTTTGTCTGAGAACAGAAAATGAAGTCAGGATATCTTTGTGGCGCACGTAATTTTTTCGTCCACCCTGTACTCCTTTTTCGACCGGCCACTCCTGTTGCAAAATGCATGGCAGTTGGTTCCAATCAGGGTGAACCCTACCATGTTTACTCTGTACGTTTAGTAACAATGGCGCGTCGTACTCGTTGATTTGGAGGAGGAAGGGTCGTACTCGCTCTCACTTGGCTTAGAAACACACATGTGAGTTTTGAGGTGCGACTGTTGGGGGCGTAGGAAAGAAGTTGCCGTTTCAGCGCGCGTATACACAACCCGCTCGACGCGGCATTTTTGGAGGAAGAAAGTGGGGGGAGTTTGAGGGGGTTGAGTGGTATGAGAATTAATACTATAGAGAGGAATATGGCGGTTGAGGTGTGGAAAGGGGGTCGTATCAAATCCACCCTGGGGGAGGGGGGTCGTAAAAATTTTTCAAAAAGTAAGTGGAAAAGGGGATCGTATCAAATCCACCTTGGGGGAGGGGGGGGGGGGGGTTTGTAAATTTTTTCAAAAAGTAACAACGATGGTTTTGACCCTGGTTCCAATAATTCTGTCAAAGAGCAGAGTTCCTTTGACTAGCAAAGTTACCAGTGGTGTCATCAGCGTATATAGTGAATGAACGGGAATTGCGAATGCATGACGTCTTCTATCTACGTTCTCTGTTCAAAGGGAACAGTAAAACCGGTCTGTGAGAATTAGGCGAGTTTTTTTGCTTTTGCTTGTTTTGTTTGTTGTCGTTTGCCCGATAAGGAACGGCTGTAAACAAGTGTTTAACTGCGGTCAGCTTCTCCAGTGAAAATAACTTTTCTTCTATATGTCTCATCCAACCTGGTGTTCAGTGTAGGAGGGCTATTTGAGTGTGCATAACTCTCACATAGTGGTATGCTGGACTCACCCGATTTTAGCTCACAACCATTTCTGTCCCCCCGAATAGCTTCTGAAGCCACGAAGGGTAATCGGAGGAAGAAGTGACTGTGAGTTCAGGACAGAAGTTATAAGGACGAGACTGGACAGTTGGGGGCGTCTCTGCGCAGGTGCCGCAGCCGCTTTAACACAATGCGTATAAGTCTGATAGCAAATCATAGAATCAGGAAAAATACTCTCATCGGGTTAACCTCTGAGGGCAAAAGCTTTACAGTGCTGTTTTGCAAATCAATCCACGACGATAACAGAGTACAATCTTACAAACATCGTTTCTGCCTTACTTACCATCGCTTGGGCCGCTCCATATCAAATCAGACCACTTCTGAAACTTAGTTCCAACAACCCTTCTTCGAAATTGCTGAGCTTCTAGAGGACTTTCTTCTCGGTTTGACCAACCATGGGTTGTGTTCCTAGTACAAGCCATCATTGTGACTCCGTGACCCGGCCAGGAGCCACGCTCGCGTTTATTGCCCCCTACGGTCACAAGGGATGTGCAGATGCAATCGGACATGCTGGGAAGGTCACCTCCGCTTTTCTGTCTCGTGAACCAGAAAGGTTGTCTATTCGTCAAACAACACGAGGGTTTTCGATCATTCAATGTCAAGAACTTGGATTTCCATAAATGGAAATCGCTATCATCAAAGGACGTTTTCAGGTGGCAGAGGTGGGACTTAACGGATTGGGGCGAATACTTATTTATTGTATTACACGTGATTCATTATATTATATTATTCTTTCTTTTGTGCTTCGCATTTACCACTTTGTGTAATGAGCGCAGCACAAAGAGATTAATATGACATTTTAATGAAAGGCTGCAATGTGATCGGAGAAGGCGCTGACCACATTACAGTTATTCTTCCGAAAACATTGCGGTGATTTCTGATTCTTGCTCGGTTCCCTCCTATTTGTTAATATTTGTTTATAGATGAGCTTGGGGGAGTGGCAAAAGGGTGATTTTTTCAGCTTCTCCTACCTTGTTAACCCAAGTGTGCCCTGGTACATACGGGGTGGCAGTAGCTGTAGAATCCCATGACCCAGATTTGCCGTTGCGCACCTGCCGACAGTGATCAGCTGATTATCCTCCCTCCAATTGTTGAGAAAAGCGGATACTGAACATTTCAACATGTTTTTGCTCTTGAAAATTGCCCGTTGATTTAACGACACGTGGCTTTCTTAGGAAACGTTTTCTTCTTCGGCTAGGCCTGGGTAAATTGGTGACTGACAAGGATCAAATGGGGCTATGTGTAGGTCATGCAAAAATAGGTCGTCGCATGATACTTCTACTTCGATATTATCATTCAATATGTTTTCTCTATTCTTCCAACTTCCTTTTTTTCTGATTGCCTTAGTCGTGGACTCGCTTTCCAGGTGAGGTACTGCCACTTTTTGAAAAGAAAATTTGATGGTGCTGAATTTTATTTATTTAGCCTTACACTTATTCCAGTGACGCGTTGGCTAAACTTACAGATTTTTGACTTGTTTTTGTTTGTTAACTGCTGTTTTTGGCCGCAGTTCGCCTTGCGAATGTTTCACAAGAATGCTGGGTTGTGAACAAAACTTTCGCCCCAGGCGGGACTAGAACCCGCACCTCTCGCTTTCCGGGCAAGTGCGCTACCAGTTACGCTACCGGGGCACCATTTCATCCCAACTCAGCTTTTCATGGTATACGTACCATAGCTTTCAGCACTCACACGTCTAACGTGTTAATTAAAATGCCACAGCAACTGATAAGTGGACAGCAGTCACTAGTTACAGTCACAACAGTCGGTAGCGGGTGGACCTAACGGATAATTTAACCCTTTCGGCCCTGGCGGTGGCAATTGCCACCACCAAATTCAAACGCTTGCATTGCCGCTGAAACAGCATGGTTTTTCTAATCCTGCTAGAGGTTGCTTCAGTCAACCTTCCCCTTCCTAATTATGAGCTAAACCTGCCATTTCATTGTGTGTTGCTGTTAGTATTACAAGTATTTGTGTACAAGTGCAACAATGAATGGGCGCTGACCCCCGCAACCGGCCAAGTAAGTGTGACTTTTTCTTAAAATACTTGAAGTAGATCCATTCCTAAATCAAAATTATGGGTTATAATGTTATGCAAGATTATAAACTTTTTCGGCATAACTATGAAATTTCGAATTGTTTCGACATAAGCTTAAAAACTAAGAAGGTGGGCCAATTTTCAAAGCTTCTTAGTTTCTTTGTTTGTGATCGAATAGCTTCCAAATTTCGCCATAATGATACCTATATGCTCACAAGTAATAAACAATAGCTAGAAGAAAAATTTCTCCACGGGGAAAAATTCAGGTCCGAAAGGGTTAAAGGCAGCGAGGTTACGATAAAGAGCGTCGGGGAAGCATATGTACACGAAGCAGTTACCTGCCAGGGAAGCGAGATGTAGCGCTCTCACGACGAAAGGTGCGCTGGTTGCTGAGCAGGACTTCGAAAGCACTCCGCCCCAAAAAGCGATCCGCCCATTAGTTATAGACCTTAACCTTGCGTTGCGCAGTTCTCAACGGCCACGTTGCGCAGTTTCCACGTTCTCTCGCGCGAACATTCACACTCGCATGCTCGAGCCGTCTGTGCTCTCCGCCCATACAGCGTGCGTTGAGGATCTCTCAACGTGCCGTTGAGAACTGCGCAACGCACGGTTGACTCTGCCGGAGCAACTCGACTGGAGCGCGTTTGACATGGCGCCACCAAACGCATTGCCGTGAACTCGTACATAGGTCCGATTTCAGGGCTGTTACCTGTTCATGAGTGAAAAAGAACGGCAAGAAAGAGGGTGCCGTTTTGAAAGAAAGAGTGGTATTCAGATATTGATTATCGAAAGTGCATAATGATTACGTTGGGTTATTGTTTGTTTTTGTTTTGTTGTGGTTTTTTTTTTTCTTTTTTTCCTTTCTTAATGGGACCTAACTCCATAGGCCGTGTGCCCAGTGTTTCCGCCAACGGACGGCATGTAATTTGTAGACCGTATAAATAAAAAAATAATGTAAATCAATCTCTTCAGGCCTTCATCCTTTGTTCTAAATTCTGGTACATACACTCTGTTCGTGAAGCGTAGTGAAAACATTGTCCCTGTTGAAACTTTCTGAGGCGTGTCCCCACATTGACGTATTACTAGGAAAAAGTGAGGAGTAAACTGATGAGAAATCCGGTTCCTACGGGCCATCGCGATCGCACCTCTGTGCATGTGGTTTTACTCATATCAGATACATAGCTCCAAAAGCGGTTGTTGTTTTAGAGCTGCCTTTGAAGCTATGAAATTAACAAGTTTTGTAAACAACCACATTTTTCTTGTCAAGTCTTTATAAAGCTTACATGAAGAGCTGGAAATACAGGAGACGTAGAAGGTGAGCACCACTATTTCCCCCTTTATTTATTTTTGTGACATCACAGCGAGTGCGAGGTCGCTTCTCAGCTGATAAGAATTAGTAAGTGCTTATGTTTTTCGTTTGGGTGGAATTGCGCAACAGTGCGTAAAGATTTCCTGAGAAGGTATAAAGGTTATCTTGGCACAATACACAACACTCACATGCGTTTTGTTACGTTCAAAGATTCCCTCTGCTCATACCCTTTTTTGGATTTTGTACCTCTGGGCTCGGGCAGTCAGTCAGAGGGTTGAAGCTGAACACCGCAAACTGCTCGCTATATCACATTCCGCCAAGGCTATGTAACTCCAAAGTCGTTCAAATAGCTGATTGTATCATTGAGCTCAGAATAAAAGCTTCAAGGGGTGACTTGTACCTGTACAGGTTAATGCATAGTATACAAGTGATGTACTACTCTCAATCCTTTCATAAAGCGATGGCGAAGAGTGAATACGTGGCCTCTCCATAGGTGATCAGGAGATATCAAACAGCGGTTTCAACACACAACTCTAATCGCGGTACTGCACACTTCATTTGGTTTCGTTCTCGCATCGTGAGATCGCCACAACCTTCACCGACATTGTTCGTCTGGTCAACGGAACTTCATTGATTTTGTTAACGCTGATAAGAGTTCGTGCTGGCCGTGTACCATTTGTGCTCGACTTAATTTGGCACGGAACATGGTTCCAATAAATAGCCTTGGAGAACCTCGAATTCTGGAGCCGCGTCCGCTTGTGGGAAATGGTTGCAGGTGAAAAGAAACGCTGAGAGGGCAGTGGGGGCGGTAGACGTCACAGTTTGCTGCGATATTTGCTCTCCTATCTGTACTGTTCGTTTTATTTGCGTAGTGGGAAGAAATAAATTAGTTCATTCGTTGTTCAGGTATGTATCGTCTACTACTACTGTGTAGCGCTGCCTTGAGCACAACACGCTGTGCTAAACGTGCTCGTTTGGAATCCGACCATTGGCTACAGCCACGTTCGGTTTCTGGGAGCCATAGCCGATATTCTGCACCAGGATGGACACAATGTGGTAGGTTCATCGCTCATTTCGACTTCTTTTATCCGAGAAGATCTAGCAAACAATGGTACGAAGTCGGGATACTCGTCCGAACACGCCCTCCTTCTAGACCTTTCGTCGCAATAAACGGGGCGGTATTACTTCCGGCTTTTCCAACGGGTTCCCCCCTTTTCCTCACCAGCGCTTCATTTTGCGCATTCGAACTCAATTTCGAGCGAAATGTTCAGATCGTACTGTGCCTTCAACCCAGGATATCCAAATGGATTTCGGCTCCCATACTGTTAAGTGTTATTTGCAGACTATCCTCTCACCAATAATGGATTCTCGTGTTGAGATGGTAGGGCACACTTCGTCGATTCTGCAGATACCGTACGAATCCAAATACATGGATCACGAAGGGTATTCGAAGCTGGAGTAAGCCAATTTACTGCTACTCACAAAAGCTCACAAATACTAGTATTACCAATTGTAGGGTTAAGAGCTCCTCGTTCTGGGAAGTACCAACCCAAGGACGCTCTATGAGTGTGAGCGATTTCGAAGGGTTCGTCAGGAACATGCAGAGCTTGTATCGAGGTTTGCTCAGAACCTTCCTCTTCATTCATTTCGGGTTCAGTAATTTTTCAAGAGCTTATAAGCTAATGCGTCCACCTATTTGCAACGCACTGGATGTTCAAAAAGGAAAAGGGTTCCAATTTCAAGCATTTTTTTCTCGACAATACATTATTCCAGTCATAAGCCATAACTATCATCAACATATGCACCGTCCCTATCAGTAGTTTGTTGCCAGAGACTGATCGATAAGTCGATGTCGTGCTCTGAGAAGTTAAACGTCTTGGGTTCTTTTCTTCTGGTCAACCCACTTAGAATAAGACTCCTAAGCCTAGGCCCAATCATAGGAACAAGCATAAACAATGTGTAAGCATAAGCCTGACTTACCAGGAAAGGCATTCAACTTCCCATGGAACTTTGAGATGAGACCCAGATATATCGATAGAGCTTCAAACGCTGATTACAAATATGGAAACTAAAACTGCAAAATGAACCTGCCAAGGAAGTTGTGAGCAGTCAAAGTTGGCTGGAGGTAAAGCATTACACTAGCCTTTGGGCTTTCAAAGTCGTCGTGGAGTAGTGGTAGTGCTCTCGGAATTTGCGCTCTGACGGGAGGAGAGCTTATGACCTCCAGGGTGAATAGCGAGGGCACCACCACTGCTCCGCGGTGACTATGAAAGCCCGGAGGCTAGTGTGATGCTTTACTTCCAGCCAACTTTGACTGCTCACAACTTCCTTGGCAAGTTCATTTTGCAGTTTTAGTTTTCATATTTGTAATCAGCGTTTGAAGCTCTATCGATATATCTGGGTCTCATCTTCCGAGTTCCCATGGAAGTTGAAGAAGTTCCTTGGTTAGGTTCAGAACCCAAGAATATCATAGGCTTCACTGGTCGCCGCAAGGCATGGTGGACTGACTAGAGGAGAACTGAACGTCTCCCAGGGGTTTCAAGTTGAAAAGGCAGTGAGGTTACTTTGGGGTTTTCCTTGAGAGTCTTTTTGTACGCAAGGTGGTCGGTCAGCAAAGCGCATAGACGGCAATGGGAAGAGACGGTCAACCCTCTATGGATTTCTTAGGACTCCTCAACTATGCCGCAGAATTTCGATTTACTCCATATTTGAAATGTGGTTGTTTCGGCTGCTGAGAAACGGAAATTTATGAAGCTGTGGTGATATTGCACTTTCATGTAGGGGTTGCGTAATCATCGACTAGCCGATCTCAATAGGGAGGGGGAGGGGGGGGGAGTTCCTAGTCGCTGACACCAGCAATTTATAATAGTAACGCTAAATAAAGCTCTGGCGTGTGATGCAAAAGTGTCATGGATTTTTGGCTCAGCCTAGTATAATAACAGATATAGTTGCCCGAAGGACAGATCCGGCCGACGAAACCGCTGTAGCAACTGGGCGCTTTTGGATTCCAGGC